GTGATGGAAATATCCTCGATGCGAGCGGAGGTCACCTCCTCCAAAGTCGGTGCCGAGTCGGATTCGACAGTGAAAACGGACGCGAAGAACTCGTTAAGTATACTGGCCATATCCTTATCGCTTGCAATCAACTCCCTCTTTTCATTCATTAGCGGCCCGATCGACTGTTGACACCTACCACTAGCATACTGATAAAAAGCCTTAGGGTTCTTCTTAGCATCGCTAGCCAGCCGTTCCTCGACCTCCCGTCTCGCAGATCTAATTTCTCGCTTCAACTTCCGCGTGATCCTCCTATATTCCTCATAGTCCGTGCTATCTCCCGTCCGCTTGTACGCATCCCATTTCCGCATCTCTTTGAAAATAGCAGACATGACAATGGGATTGGGGTAAACGGCGCAGGGACACCCTCTGCTACTGGCAGGGGACAACAAAGGGTTCAGAAAGATGTCGATGTTGTCCAAAGGAAGAGTTTGACTCTGATCAAACAGGATGGGCCAAAAAAACTTTGGTTATCTTCATCACTCTACAGAACAGGTCCCCCAGAGTCTGCTAAAAACGTAATAGTATCTCCACGTAGAATATCTATTTAGCTTTCGAATGATGTCAACAAAAGAAAGGTTTGTGGCCGAACTACCACGCAGTTAGATAAAGAGTAAGAGAAGTGGCTCAGAAAAAGTTGGTGCCATATAGCGATTTCAGTCACTGCGTGCAAGACTTTGCCTACTCGCCGTGAGCGAAAGAATGGACGTCACATTTTCCTATATTGTACTGGTAAGTGTACTTTTCAAGCGTTACCGCCGTCACATAGTGCATAGCTGCATCGGAATGACGAATTGAATCAGAAATCTTTTGAATAGAGAAAGATAAATGTTTTATATAGAAAGGAAAGCTAGATAAATGCTTTATATAGAAACGCTATTATAATATTTTTAAACTCTGGAGAAACGACACTGTGAAGCGGTGAAAAATTGCCGAAGATTTTATGGGCTCACCCTGTAGTTGAAAATCAAAGACCAGTTATAGGCAAACATCTACTTCAATGGGCAGCCTGAATTTTATATATATCAGCAGACGAAAATGCCCTAACTGAATTTTATAGGAATGTATAGGAATCCTATAAGAACACCTAAGGATACCATAGGTTTTCTATAGAACCTATTGGGTTCCCATAGGAAGCTCACATTCCTTAATGGAGTCCATAAGATTCCTATAGGAATCTTAGAGGATGCTATATGTTTCTTATAGGACCTATAGGTTTCCTATAGAACCTGTAGGGTTCCTATAGGGACGCATGCATTCCTAAAGGGAGTCCGTGAGATTCCCATAGGAATCGTATAACATCCTATAGGTTTCTCATTGGACCTATCACAGGCGTAGGAACGTCCTCGAATGTAGGGAGAGGGGGGGAATGCAATTGAGACAAGTTTGTTCCGAAATTCGGAAAATTACTATTTAATTCAAACACGATGAATATATCAGATTCAAGTGAAACTGGAGTGTAAATATTCTCCTTTTCTGGTTTTCTTTTTTGGAAAATATGTAATAAATTTACTTGGGTCGAAAATTTTCTGGGTCCAAAATAAATGAAAAATGTATGTGCATGCATCAATCCAATATTTTTCAGGCGCTGTTGTGTCGTTGTCGCCTGAATACAATTCTTGAGCCTCCACAATTACAAAAAATTCCTCTCTGCTGATGCACACAACATCCGTAGGACAAAACCGCGTATTTCGGCTTTCGTCTTCTAGTGGCATATTTTCAATAGGCTACTAGAAGGAGGTGTGGGTCTCGCACTTCTGAAAGTACACAAAAGGGCTCTTCCCCTCTATCCATGAATCATCTCTCAGAAGAGTGTTTTGTTCCTTCTCATATAACTCTCCTTGCCTCATTATAACAATAGACTCGGGCACTTCCTTATTTGCTATCACCATATTCCAAACTGAATCATGGCGTCCAAGCCAGAAACAAGCTCATATTCCCTACGAAAAACAATTCTCCTTATCCGAAATAGAGTTTTAGTAAAGAGATGATGCGCGCAGGTTCTGTCTACTATTTCCTTAGACCAAGTGGGGCATGATCATTCTCCCTCCACGAAAAGAAGCGAGCTTGCGGATACACCATCCTGTCTATCCATGAGACAGATGTGCGCATGGGCAGAGAGTTATAGTAGTTCAGGCAGTACTAGTAATGACCACCATGGGACAACTCCAACTCGGTAATGAATCTGCAGCAAAAAGCAGCGGCAATATTGACGCCTGTGATCATCTCACTTCGTAGTAATCCAGGTTGTGATGCCACAGTTTCGAAACCCAAAAAACCTCACCAAATCCTATAGGTCAGGAGTCCTATAGAACCCTATAAGGGTCCTATAGGTTTTTCGTGTTTCAAAAACCGATAGGAAAAGTCTTCCTATAAGAAATATCTATAGGAATATTTCGTAAGGGTTAATTTTTCAGCCAATATCTATAATCCAGAACCATATCAATATTGAGGCAATTCTCTACAGATGTGATTTCTGTGTTGTGTTCATCCGTGTGAAGAGTAGCTCCTTAAAATATTATTTCAAATTCACTCGATGGAATTCCGCCCTAACAGTCTGCACCTCTCTGTTAGTCCATGATGACCCACAAGGTAGATTGCCGAGCTTGCTGGAGCCGTTAGTTTGTCCGAACGCATGGCATCTGCGTTGAAAGCATATTCCATTTCAAGGAACAGGAAATATCTGAGAAAATTTTCACGTAAAGGAATGTGATGCGTGCTGTGGCATTTCTTCCCTTACGGAAATGTCCTATAGGAAACCTATAGTTATTTCTTATAGGAAACCTACAGACATTCAGGAGTCAGGAGTCAGGAGAGTTAGTGATATCAAGAGGCGATTTCGCCCATTTCGATATCACGTGTCGAGGTCGAGCGTTCCTTAATTTAGGGTAGGCCTAACCCTCTTAAAGCTATATATTTTTGTATTTTTGTATTTTTTTTTTTTTTTTTTTT